GATGAGAAACTGAAGCACAGAGAGGTAAAATAACTAGCCCAAGATCAAGTGGAATTGCTGAAACTGAGCTCCATGCAGCTCCTGAGTTCATGCCCTTAGTGAGAACACTGACTGCCTCTTTGATGTTGTCTAGCCAGGGTTGCCCACTGGCCACAACCTAGCGACTCCCAGGGGTGCTGGGAACCCAGGAAGAAGATTAGAGCATTATTCTACCTCTTCTACCCACAGCCCTCCAGCCACGGGAAACATCTGTGCTAGACCAAGCACAGGCCCAAGACAAGCCTGGCCTCTGCTTTTCCTGCCTGAGCCATAGGAGCTGCACAACAACCTGAAGCTCAAGGCCCTCTGTCCCCTGACCCACTGCTACCCAGCGATGCCAGTTGCCCTGCCTGAACTGCTCACCAGAGCACAGGCTGCTCACCAGGGAAGCCCAACACAACTGGGAGCTCTAGGACAAAAGTTACCTTTGTCAGAAGAGCACTAGACTAGGAGTCAAGAAGGCCAAGTTTTGGTTTCCTCTGATAGAAAATGGGGAGAAGGGGATACATAGGAACAACAGGTCCCTGCCAGACCTTATAGTCCTATTCATCAACAAACCACTCACCCTAGGATTTGTTCTGAACATTCCACACACAGCAGCTTCCACGAGGACCATATTATAGCAAGGAAGTGCTAAAGTTGTAAAGGGCAGATGACTCCAAAGACCCTAATACTGACAAGATCCTGTCTTAGGCAGGCCTGTTCTGACAGGACGTCCTCATAGCCAGGGGATGGGAGAGGTCACAGGGGAGGGGCCTTTATCCCATTCCTCGGCCCCATCTCAGACCAAGAACAATGTCAGCTTCACCTCCATCATCGGCCCAAGCTCCTTTTTCATTATCTTGTTTGATCTACAAGATGACCCATGGAAAACAGGGTAAAGTTGTCTTCCCTACTTTGTAGATAAGGCAATTGCCATCAGGGTGTAGAAGTGCTTGCTAATAAACTGAAAATGCAGAACTAAGATCCCAAGCTTTGTGGTGCAAGTCCACAGTCCCACTGTGCCTCTCCTCAGAACCTTATAAGGAGGCATGAACAGGGCAGACCTGGCTCATAGCTCTGAAATTGCACTGATCACAGGGAACTATGAGCCAAATCCTAGTTAGGTTTTGGTTCATAGAATTATTCCCAAGGACTATGGATTAAAAGGAACAAAAAAGGATATTTCATACAGATCAAACTCCAACCTGAAGATATGTTACTTATGAAGCATTATGCCTCTAACCATGTAGCTTCAAAGTATATAAAGCAAAACTGATTAAAAGAAAAAACAAATCTAGGCATGATGGTACACACACACACCTATAATCCCAGCACTCTGGGAGGCTAAGGTAGGAGGAACCCAAGTTCAAGATCAGCCTGGGTTCAATCCTCAGTACTGGAGAAAATAAATAAATAAATATGGAAAAATCGACAGGCTCACATGCAAAGTAGATTTTACATACTTCTCTCAAAAATAGACAAATTAAGTAGACTAGAAGGTCTCAGTTTGGTCTCAAACACCTTTGTGTGCCCTTAAAAATTGAGAGCCCAAAATTATGTGGATTATACTTATTAATATTTACCATGTTTGGGGCTGGGGATTTAGCTCAGTGGTTCTGCCACCTGCCTCGAAAGCGCAAGGACCCGAGTTCGATCCCCAGTAGCAAAAAAAAAAAAAAAAGTTAAAAAAAATTTTACCACATTTAAAGTTTTAAATCAAAAAAAAATTTAAGGGTATTAATTTAGGTAAGAAATCATTATATGTTAATAGGAAGAAATGTTTATAAATAATATATTTTTCCAAAGGGAAAGAATTTAGTGAGGAGAGTGGCACCCTTTTACATTTTAGCAAATCTCTTTAATGTCTAGCTTAATAGAAAACAGCTGGTTTCTCATAACTGTCTCTGCACTCAATTTGTTGCCACATGTGTTTTGGTTGAAGTATATGAAGAAAATTTGGTCTCACACAAAAAATGTAGTTAGAAAAGGGTGGAGTATTTTAATAGCTTTTCCAGATAATTGTGAGTATTCTTCTTTAAGAGTGCCAAAAAAACCTGACATATGGTCATTTCTTTTTTTTTTTCATATGGTCATTTCTTAAATGCTTGTTGCAATGTAGACTCTGAAACCATATCAATAAACTGCTCATATTCTATTACTTTAAACTGGTCTACCTTGTACTTTGAGTAAACTTCTGAAGTGTGTAGTTTTAACCTTGTAGACCCTCAGAAAGGGTCTCTGGGGGACCCTGACTTATTTTGAGAAATAAACAACAAAAAAGGTAGAAAATGTAGGCTTTGATGACATAATTAACAAGTTTGATCAAAGTGGTATCTTAGATCTAAGAGGTATCTGAGCAGGTATCTACATAGAACCTTGCTCATAACAAACCACAAATACACATTCTTCTGAACAAACAGCCCCTCCATCAGCTGGAGAAACATGTGCCTAGACAGACTGCAGAGGCTCCAGGATGGACAGATGCCCAGCACGCCAGGTGTCCCACCAGCTGCTGAGGTCCAGGGTCAGCCTCATCACGTAGGGGCATCGAATCACAGAGTAGCCTTCTCCCGCTGCTGCAGAGCCAGGGTACCAGGCTGGCCACAAAGGGAGGCTCCTGACAACTGCCCAAGGAACAGTCCTGGCCAGGCTCAGTTCCTGGGAAGGGCTTTCCCTCCTCACTCTCATCACCTGTCCATGTCAGGGAGCCTTGGGGGTCCCCAGACAGAGTTGCCCATCCTCTTCTGCCCAGAGGCTTCCAGCCTGGTCTCACTGCCCTTTGGAGGCTCCCAAGGCTGCCAGGTACAGACTCAGGAGTGTCTTGTCATGTATTGTTTTTATGTAAACAGCAGCAGGAACAATGCCTGGCTTTGTCCAGGTCGGACACTGGGACTCCAAGAACAGCACAGTCAGCCAGCTGTGCAAGGAGCAGGCACCCTGCACAACAGCTTGGGGACCCCACTGCCCCCACCAGTGCTACACCTCCCCCTGGAGAACAGAAGGCTGCCCCCCATAGAAGGGTGGAGGTGCTGGAGACTAGGAAGCAGAATTGCTGCTCTGAACCCCAAATCAGAGATAGGGCCATGGTATCTGAAGGTTTCAGAATGCATACAACATTTCTACCCCAAAGTCACACACCCTTGGGGATCTTTCATTCCCAGGTGCTCTTTTCATGCTGGCACTGTCAGACTTTCCTTTTATTCATTCACTTTATTTGCCCATCACAATAACTGCTAAGGAAGTTCAATTTTACAAACCAGCAGATTGAGGATCAGAACAGTTAAGAACTTACCCAATCTGACACGGCTAGTAAGATACCATAAGAATCCCCAATTTGAACTTGACTCTATTATAGAGTCAGGGCTAATGCCCCATTAGTACACTACACTGCCTGGCCCTGCAGAGAGAGCACTCCTTCACATGAGCGATCATCTGCAGAACTTCTGCAGAACCTCCGGTTTTGTTTGCTTGATTGGCTGGCTGGCTTGTTGACTGGTTGTTTTCTTGGTGTTTTGAAATGGGTCTCACTAAATAGCCCAGGCTGGCCTCGAACTTGGGATCCTCCTGCCTTGGCCTCCTGGGTTCTGGGATTATAGGCATGCACTACTACACCTGGTTGCAAAACCTCTTAATGCTAGGTTTTGAAAGAGGCAGAAGGGGAAGGAAAAGGCCCTGGCTTGCTGTACCTGAACCTAACTTGGTCATTCTGGAAATCAAAAGACATCTGTTCCAACCCGTCCTTTCCCCTACCCAACCTCTTCTCTCACCTGAGGGTGAGGTGGCCAGGCTGTCTCTGTCTGTTGAATCTTCTGCCTCCTCTGCCCTACCTTCTGTCCTCTCCTCATAACTAGGTCAGATGATGCAGGGCCATGTCTTCTCACCTGCATCCCTTCCCACTCACACCCTATGCTTTGCACATATAGATGTTCAGATAAATTGGCTGAGATGTAAGAAGTCCTTACCTTTCTACTACCCCTAGAAGGACCGACCCAAGACAAGACAGGAGCCCTGGAAAGGGGAGGCAGTAAGTGCACTCCTCCTCCCTCCTAGGAGATTCCTTCCCAGGACCTTTCCCACCAAAGACTGAGAGGTCAGACACGGCTCTTAAGCAAGTCCCTCCTACGGTACCACCAAGCCTTTCCTCCAAGTTCCTCTCACAGGAAAACCAAGGAAGGCATGGCCCAGCCAGATAGGAAAGACACCAAGCTTGGGATCCTTGAAAGTCACCTCCTCTCTGATGCCCCCCTGGATGCCTTCTTCAATATTATTAATTCTTTCCCCTCCCATAGTGTTTTCTACCCCAGGATAAAATTTACCATATGAAGGCCAGGGAATTAGCTCAGTGGTGCCGCACCTGCCTCTCAAGTGCAAGGTCCCGAGTTTGATCCCCAGTACCAAAAAAAAAAATTTACCATATGGCACAGTGGTTATGACCTGGCCTTTGGAGTCCCACATCTGGGATTCAAATCCTGGCCCCCTCATGAGCTGTATGGCTTAGGACTAACCACTTCACCTCTCTGAGCCCCTGTATAGCCATTAGGCCTACAGAAGCAGAATCCAGACCTCCTAGTTGTTTCTGAGCCCTGACTCTAGAACCAGACTATCTGAGTCCAAATGCTGGCTGTCATCCTCACTTCATCTCTCTTGGCCTCAACTCAGTATCTGTAAAGTGGGGGTGATAATAGCACCTACCCACCTTGTAGCATTGCTATGAGAATAAGGTAATTCATGCACTGCACTTAACAGTCTTGACACACAATTAGCACTCATTAAGTACTAGTTATCATTAGACTGGAGGTTGATAAGGTTGTGCAGTGCCCTGCACCATCCCTGGAACTTAGTAAGAGCTCATAAAATAGAAGCCACAATTACCTACCTACCTACTTACAAACACTCTCTCTCTGCCTCTCTCTCTCTCTCTCACACACACACACACACACACAAACACACACACACACACACACACACACACACACACACACTCCCCAAAGACTGCCTTGTCTGGGTCTTGGCCCTCTCTGATCTGCCTCACTGGGACCCCTGAAGGCGGCAAAGGGAAGCACTGCCTTCCTGGACCAGCGGGTGTGCTCAGGAAGAACAGCAACCGAGGTGTCGGGAAAACAAAACAGAGCAACAGAGCGGAGCGGGCAAGGCCGAGGTGGACAGATAAGCAAGAGAAGTGAGTGAGAAAAGGAACAGGAGGGGCTGCGGCAGAGAGAGATAAGGGGAAGGATGGAGAAGGCCAGGGGCAAGTGAAGTGACGTGAAGGAAGTGAAGGAGCGCCACGGAGAGGTGCAGGGCGAACCAAAAGGGCGCCCGGCACGGCACTGGGCGGGAGCGCGGGAGCGGGCGGGGGCCGAGGGGCTCCATCCTGTCCCGCCGCCTTGGGGCGGGGACCGCGCAGCCAGAGATTGGCTGGGGCGCGCGGCGAGGCCAGGCCAGGAGCCCCGAGGTGGGAGGCGCCTGGAGCATTTGGGGCGCCCAGAGTGGAGCTGAGCGAAGGCTGCCACCCACTTGGGCCACCTCGGCGGCGGCTGCAGGGGGTCCCAGGGACTAGCGCGGCCATGCGGGCAGCAGCGGCGGGGGGCGCGCGTACGGCCTCGCTGGCGCTGGCGCTGCTCCTAGGGGCGCTACACGGTGCTCCCGCGCGCGGCGAGGAGTACGACTACTACGGCTGGCAGGCCGAGCCACTGCACGGCCGCTTCTACTCCAAGCCGCCTCAGTGCCTCGACATCCCCGCCGACCTGCCGCTCTGCCACACGGTGGGTTACAAGCGCATGCGGCTCCCCAACCTGCTGGAGCACGAGAGCCTGGCCGAGGTGAAGCAGCAGGCGAGCAGCTGGCTGCCGCTGCTGGCCAAGCGCTGCCACTCGGACACGCAGGTCTTCCTCTGCTCGCTCTTCGCGCCCGTGTGCCTCGACCGGCCCATCTACCCGTGCCGCTCGCTGTGCGAGGCCGTGCGCGCCGGCTGCGCGCCGCTCATGGAGGCCTACGGCTTCCCCTGGCCCGAGATGCTGCACTGCCACAAGTTCCCTCTGGACAACGACCTCTGCATCGCTGTGCAGTTCGGGCACATGCCCGCCACTGCGCCTCCAGGTAGCGTCGCCGCTCCCGCGAGCCGGGCCCGGACAGATGCCGCCCCCAACCCCACAGCACAGCTCTGCGAGCACAACTCTGCGCCACCCTCCTTACACACACACACACACACACACACACACACACACACACATACAATACTCAGAACATTAAAGAAAGCTGTTAAGCTCAGTCCTGCACCCGGGAGTTGTCTCCTGCCGCCTTCCTTCCCACCCCTACCCCTTGGGCTGTCAGAGCAGTGACTCCCTGAGCGAGACCTCCCAAAGGTTCTCCCCTTTCCAAGCCTGGCGGCGCCCGCTTTCCCAAGCCGCTGAATCCCAAGGTGCCCTGGGGTGCCCTATAAGTACTTTATTGCCTCCCTCAACCCAAGAATGCTCCAGAGTAGCTTAAAATGCCTTTCACCTGGACCCCAGGGACCAAAACCACCTCTACCCCTGTTAGGACTTTGGAAAGGGAAGCTGGGGTAGGGAAGAACTGGGGGTTTGGAGGTCTCCTGGACTATGCCCCTCTCGTTTCTGTGCCAGGACCCTAACTTCCCCCACCCTCTTCCCTGCTTCCCGGGCTAAGTCTTTCGGGTAAGGCTCTGTGCATCAACCACAGATCCTAGGGAAGGAGCCCTTAGGGGAGTTGCTTAATTTCTCCGACCTTCTCTCTAGTTTCCCCATCTGAAAAAAGGTAGTTCATGAAACCTGTATCTAAGTCCTGCCTCCCACCCACACCCCCAGTGCCATTACCCCTGATTTGTGCTTGGTGTCACCTCCCCTGCTGGTCCCTGCGGGTTGGTGCCCCCTCCCCTTTCTCCCCGAGTGACCCCTTTCTGGTTGCCTGGGCACCCAGGATTAAACATGACACTAACACGGAAGACTAAGGAGCCTCCGGTTCTGCTCCCCCAAGAGGCAGCACCACTCCTTCTTTTCCTGTCCTCCCTACTCCCCTCAAAGCCACAGAACCCCACCCCTCCGCACCCCACCCTCAGGCTAACCATAGGTCCTGTGCGCCCACCCCTCCCCAGTCCATGTCCTTTCCCCTGGGGTCCTGTGCCTGGGGTCAAAGGGAAAGTCCTATCCTGCAGGTGAGAAGTCCAAAGGGAAGCAGGAGAGGGAGCCAGAGAAGCAGGGAGTCATAGACCCCAAGCAAGATCCCTGAAGGTTCCTTCTGTGGTTTCTTTTGTAGCTCAGACATTAACAACCTGGGAAATCCCACTTGGCCAGCCCTACCCACTCCACCAGTCCATGAGTCCCCTTTCCCCAGCAACAGGCACCTACCTAGAGGCCGGAACACAGGAGAAGGTGAACGGAGGTCAAGTGCTGGGTGGTGGCCTGAGGACCAGAAGTGTTTTTGTAGCCAACAGATAACACTCAGAATATTTCATATAGAATTGAAGAGTTGGCTTTCCTTCATAAATCAGAAGTTCTGGCAATTAGAAGTTCTGCTAATCAGGCCATCTTGGGGGAGGCACTCCCCAGTTTATCACAGTCCCTGCCCTGCCTGCTTCACTGTATACCCCTACCTGGCACCCACAAGCAGCTCCACCCTGGCGCTAGATGGGCACAAATCCTGAATCTTAAGCTGGGTTCTCATAAGCTCTGCAGACTTGGGTAACCACTCTAGGCCTCAGTTTCCTTTTCTCTAAAAGAAATAATAGTAACTGCTTCACAGGCTGAGACTTAAATGGGATAAAATTTAGAAGACAATGCATATCATAATTGTAGCTACCAGGGTTGTGGGGTAGTAACTGTATCCACCTGGGCAGTATTGTCCCTGTACAATTTTGCCTCCTGTGATTGTCACAGTCACTCAGTGAGCAGATGGTGGTATTATCTCCATCATCTTCCCCCCGCCCTCACTTTGGTACTGGGGATCGAATTCAGGACTTTGCACTTGTGAGGCAGGTATGGCTCCACTGAGCTAAATCCCTGGCTCCCTCCATCATCCCTTTTCCTGGAGGCATGGTGGGTAGCTGGTAAGCAGGGGGTTCTGCACAGTAAGTAGCTCTTTGGACTTCAAACCCCTCACCAACTATCACCCACCCCACCCATGCTTTCTCTCTTCAGTGACCAAGATCTGCGCCCAATGTGAGATGGAGCACAGTGCTGATGGCCTCATGGAGCAGATGTGCTCCAGTGACTTTGGTGAGTGTGGGGCCCACATGGCCATGCCCTGGCACTGCCCCCAGCAGTCTCCTTGACACAGACTAACACAGGTGCCCACATCCATCACTGTAAACTCCAAAAGCTTCTGTATTGTCTAGCCCTTTTAGAATCTGATGCTGACCATAGGCTCTCTCCCCATAGAAATGCACCTCTTTTTGCACATCATCCCAGGGGCTTCAGAAGTCCCTGCAGATCACAGTCCATGGGCCTCAGAAACCAGCCCTGGTCAGGGCTTCTGCAGCCCCCGTTTGGCACTGTCCACAGAGGGGCCTCCCCAGCTGGAGGGTCTCTTTGAGGGATGTAGGCTTAGCCCAGAGATGGGAGGGGCCATGGTAGGAGAGAGGGGCTCCAGTCTGAAAGTGGAGACCCCCATCCCTGGATATTTTGCTCTGAATACCCACTGTTCCACTGACCAGGTGTTCCACTGGTTACCTGTCCCCACAACTTCATCCTAGTCTCCTCTTCCTGGGACCACCATGCCAAGTCTAGTTAGGACCTAGCTCACTCCTGGGCCATAAAGTTCAAGTGCAATCTATGCCAAGTCAGTTCTGGGCTTTGTGTCTTATCCTCCCTGTCTGTAAAAAAAGAAAACAGATCATATTAAATCCTTACTTCAGAGGAGTCTTTCATGTCAGTAGCCTCCTTGGAAAGAAATACTGCTATATTACAAGACGTACGTGTGTGTGTGTGTGTGTGTGTGTGTGTGTGTGTGTGTGTCAGAGAGAAAGAGAGGGGAGGAGGGAGAAGAAAGACATTTTAGGGCAGTTTCCTTCCCAATTGGCGGTCATTCCCTGGATTCTTGTCCACATTGGGGGTCAGAGGCCTGAAGAAGGGAGAGATTAGCCTGGGGGAACTCCCCACCTGCCTCCAGCCCAGGACTTCCTATCCCTAACTGTATTAGACCCTCTGGGCAGCCTGGAGTAACCTGACCATGACTCTGTGGCCATGGACCCTGCCTTCATCTCCCCCACACACTCTCATTCCTACACATACCACAGACACTCTCAGACAGAGACCACACCTATACATTTCCACTCAGTCCTAATCTCTCTCCCTCTCCCCCCTCCCCTCTCTCTCTCTCTCTCTCTCTCTCTCTCTCTCTCTCTCTCGCACACATGCAGATGACAGTGATGTGTTCACACCACAACTCCATGGCCACTGATGTGATGTGGCTGATTATGGTAGATATCAGGAAATGCTTCAAGAAGGAAGGCTGCTCCTCCCCAGTGCTGGCTATTAAACACCAGCCCACCATCGCTCTACCCCCTCACCCAACACTGCACAAATACACCCTCCACACCATGCACATACACACACAGCCTGGTTGATCACAAATAGCCAGAAATCCCATCAAAATCAGACCCCTTGATCATGAAGCCCAGCCTCCCTCCATCATGAGCACTGCCTGTAGGTGCTCAGCCCACCTCCAACATCCCCACCCTGGCCAGACTCTGTTCAATCCAGGCTCTACAATTCAGGAAAGACATACTCTCTCCACATCTCATTTTTCCCTCCTGTACTTTTGAGTTTGAAGCTTTGTAAGGTCCATGAAAGTCCAGCACCTGATAGGATCTATATGAAGATTAGAATGTACCCATGTAAGTCCCACCCCTCCAAGCCCTTCAGCACAACAGGCTGCCTGAATCCTAAGGAGAATAACGATGCACTGTCCTCAGACCTGACCCTTCTCCCTCTTCTCACAGTGGTCAAAATGCGCATTAAGGAGATCAAGATAGAGAATGGAGATCGGAAATTGATAGGAGCCCAGAAGAAGAAGAAGCTGCTTAAGCCAGGCCCCTTGAAGCGCAAGGACACCAAGAGGCTGGTACTACACATGAAGAATGGTGCAAGCTGCCCCTGCCCACAGCTGGACAGCCTGGCGGGCAGCTTCCTGGTCATGGGCCGAAAAGTAGATGGACAGCTACTGCTCATGGCCGTCTACCGCTGGGACAAGAAGAATAAGGAGATGAAGTTCGCAGTCAAATTCATGTTCTCCTATCCCTGCTCCCTCTACTACCCCTTCTTCTATGGGGCTGCAGAGCCCCACTGAAGGGTGCTGCTCCCTGCCCCACGCAGCCATGCCTTGCCCTCTGTCCCTGCCCATCTGGCCTCATGTCCACTCCCAGGCTCACCCAGCCCCTAGCAGAAGGTGGCTTCCTACAGTGCTGTTAGTGACCCAGGCCCCAGGGAAAGGCCCAGGGCTCAGGCCCTGTCCTTCATGACTGAGAGGTCCTTAAGCTCCTGGGGTCTTAGGCTTTCTCTCTTAGAAGAAGGATTTTCTCTTCCCAGGAAGAGGTCAAAGGGAGGAGAGAGCAACAGAAGGGAGGAGGGCAGCCTGAGGAGGGGGCTTCTCAAGTGGACAGTAGGATTGGCTCTGCTCTACTAGTGGGGGGTCCTTGCCTTGGAGAGGTGTCTCAGTGTTGAGCTGAACATGTATGTCCTCAGCACAGCCCTCCAAAGTGAAAGACTTAGGGTCTCCATGCCCTCCAGCCACACCTTCTGCATTCTAAAACCTCCCAGTCCTCTACCCCAGGCCTGGAGCCCAGCCTCTATACAGATCCACTCCCAAGGCCCTCTTCTTGGGGCTTCTTCCTGGGCCTCTGCATCTCCCTTTTCCCCTGATGATGCTAAGTTATTACTACTGCAGTGAGGCCATAGGTTCTAGATGACAGATACTAGCAGGGTTTGATTTTTTTTTAATTTTTTTTTAAGTTTTTAATTAAATTAAAGAAAACAACAGTTGGTTTGGACTGGTGATTTGTCAGCTGGTTCTGAAGAGCTGGGGGGTGAGAGAGGCTTATGATGGACTATTAGCAAGAGACCCTTAACCTAAGCCACCGCCTGGCTACACAGACGTCCCTGGGATACCTAAGAAAAGTAATGTCTTGTCTTTGTAGGCTTCCCAAGAGCATATGGCAAGGGTCACCCTCACACCCCAACCACTAAGTGAGGGGTGTCCCTAAGGAGGAACAGGAGTGCCAGACCCCCCAACCTACTGCCCCAGTCAGGAGACTCCCACAATGGGAAAGCATCCCTGCCTCAGCTGAGGAGGCTAAGGTGGCCTGGCTACAGGGAACTAAGCCTGAAGAGCCTGAGGCCTTGGGTGTGTCACTCCTCCCTTTGGGCTTTCAAACACTGCTGGCACAGGCCTGACCTAACAGATGCACTACTCTAAGCATTACTCTAAGTGTGGTCCCTGGGGTCAGCAGCAGCTGCAGTGGCAACATTGCCTGGGAGGTGGTTAGAAATGCAGATTCTCAAACCCCATTGCACTGAGCTACATCCCCAGTCCTTTTGTATTTTGATAAGGTCTCACTAAATTCCCCAAGCTGAGCTTGCAATCCTCCCGCCTCAGGCTCCAAAAGTGCTAGAATAATAGGCCTGTACCATCACACCCAGCTCATAATCTGCATTTTAAAACATGAACATTAGATCTAGGGAGCTTTTACAAAACACTAGGCCCCATCCTGACACAATTAGAATCCCAAGGAAGCTCCCAGTAATCAGTATTTTTAGATGCTGGGTGATGTGTAGCCACAGTTGAAAACCACTACCTAGGTAAAGTAACACTTGAGGCCGGAAAAGAAAGCGTAAGGGGTGGGGTCTTGGTGGGCTCAGAGCAGATGGAGGGAGGCTACTTTGCGGAGGAGGATGCAGAGACAGGCAAAGGCTTGAAAGAGAGGAAAAAGGCTGCTGCCACCCAGATGGCCAGCATTTGGAAAAGCTCCCTGCAGGGCCCCTCAGCAGATGCCAAGGGACAAGGATGGTGTGCCCAGAGCAGGAATCAGGAGCACTCTGAGGACCTTTTCTTGCCAGTGAGGGTGGAGCTGGGATGCAAAGTCCAGCAGAGATCTGCAGTTCCTCCAAGCCAAAGGAGCCACCCAGAGGAGGAAAACCCCAGCTTCCATAGCTCTCAGGGAGCACATCAGCTTGGAGGAATGGGGAGGAAGCATCTGCAGAAAGGTAAAAGCCAAGTTCCCCCACAACACACACTCAGGTCTAACAGGTGGTCTAACAACCTGCCCATAAATCACTCCCTTGCAGTCAGGTGGCCCCAGCAGGAGCAGGAGGAGCCTCCTGGTTTCTCTTACTCTGAGGAGGCCACTGCCACCCACTCTCCCGAAACCCTGCCCAGCCCACCTAGCTCCCTGAATCTGCCCCTTGTCTCCCAGCCTCCTATCCTGACCAAATATTTATGGACACTTCTATGGTCAACCTGGACCAGGGATTATTTTTCCCCTGAGCACACAGGACTCGGGCCCACCCCTGGCTGAAGCACAATGCTGACTTCTGTCAGGTGCTGGCAGCAATGAGCAGTGCAGTGGGTGGGGAGAGGGCTCCCTCATGCCCCACGAAGGCCAGTGAGGGACTCCCTACCACCTCCATATAGGGGCCCAGGCCTGTCTGTACAGCTACTCTACCGGGTCCCCCAGGAATCTTTCCTTGGACCAAGAACAATCCTCCTGAAGACCAGAGAGACCCTGCAAGGGCCCTGTTCCTCCAGTCCCTGCTTGCTCCACTGTTCTTTCTCCTGGCTGGTGGAGGACTGCAGCTGGGCCCAGTGTGTCAAAGGATTGCCTCTGACCACGAGAACACAGCAGAAAGACCAAGGAACAGTGGGGCTTCTGGAAGTGGACAGGTAGGAGGTCTGTGTCCCAGACTCCTCTGTCTTCCTGCCCTATAGGGGAAGAGGGGCTTTTGTTCTTGTGGTTCCAAAATGGTGCCTCTTCCTCCCAATATCCCAACCACATTCCAAGCAGCAAAGCGGGGAAGGGCTAAGAGCAAAAACCACATGTCAGCTCTCTCTAGTCCTTTTGATCAGGAAAAGTTATTTCCCAACTAGTCCTACCGGGTAGATTTCCACTGCTAGCTCACTGGCCAGAGCTAAGTCACATGGCTTCTCCCCATAGCAAGAGAGCAGAGGAAATCAAGCTTTTCATCTGGGTACAAAATCAGAGTTCTAGTATAAAACAGGAAGGATTTGGAAGTAGGTGACTGACCACACAGGGCTGGGGTGCGAAGGGGCAGTGTAGCTCAGTTCTGGCATCCTATCCTGCAACTTAGCGACTATGAGACTGAAAACACAGCCAGCTATAAAATGGAGTAAAATATCTACTTCCCAGCATTGCTGAGTGTTAAGTGTTAAATGCATGGAATGTACCTGGAAACAATGCACAGCACTGAGAATATGTTAAGTGGTTGCTTATATTTTTATTAACCAAAGCCATGACCTAGCATAATACATAATAGGTGCTCAGTAAAATCCCTGATTCCTTAACCAAGATACCCTAGTGGCAGAGAGGCAGGGAAAAGGCAAGAGCATTTGCTCTAAAAGCCAGAATTACAGAATCAGTATTTGGGGTTTTGTGTCAGAACTACACCTCCTAAGCCTGGCATGGTGGCACACACCTGTGATCCCAGCACTTGGGAACCTGAAGCAGGAGGATCACTATGAGTCTGAGGTCAGCCCAGGTTATATTGTGAGTCCAAGACCAGCCTGAACTACATAGAGAGATCCTGTCTCAAAAAAAAAAAAAAGAAAGAAAAGAAAAAAGAAAAACCTACAGTCCTATCTATCCTACTATTAGTAGATAAGCCAACTTTTTTTTTTTGGTACTGGAAACTGAACTCAGGACCTTGCACTTTCGAGGCAGGCAGCAGAACCAGAGCTAAATCCCTGGCCCCCAAGATAAATCAATATTAGGGAGATGTCTAATACTGGCAATCAATAATTATCAAGGCCATGATAGGTAGGTAGCAGCCCCTAGACACTTTTGTATTCTAATTCAAGCTTCCCAACAGCCCTTGGAGTTACTACATTTTAATGATAGTAGCTGTGGCTCAATGAGTTAAGGAGCATGGTGGTGTGGGGGTCTAACTTCCCACTCTTCACTATACTTCTATCTGCAAAGGCAAAGCTGAGCACAACCCAGGGGGAGCAGACAGCCATGCTTCCATCATTGAACTGCCTCCCCGGAAGGTTTCTGGGAGCCCTGCTCCAGTCCCACCGCCAGGGCCTGACAGAGGCAGAGGAGCCAGTGGCTTTTTTCCTGATTCCCAGACAGCCCACCCTACCCCCTCCTCTCCTCACCCCTGCCAGCACCAAGCCCAAGTCCCCACAAAGGAAGCTCACATCCCATCTTTAGTTCAGACGGCTGGAATCCTGACTAAAGTTCACAACTTGGGAAATCTAATGTCGGGGGCAGTTGTTGCTGGAATGTGTGTGGCTGGGACCCAGTATCCCAGCCCAGACAGTAGGCTCTGCTGAAGCCAGGAAGAAAGCTGGCAGCCAGGGGAACCCAGGATCCCCAGCCCCCAGCTGTTCAGAGAATGGAATGTGCTGGACTCTGGGTGTCAAGGCAGGAGGTGGGGTTCCTGGGAGCTGGGAGAGGCAGGGGCCTCCTGTCACAAGGCTGCCTCTGTTCTGCTGGAGGTTGAGCCTACTTGGCTGGGGCCGGGCTGGAGATAGAGGAGGAAGGCTAGGCTTGGGGTCAGGCCCTCCTATGAGCTCGGTCACTAGCTCCTGGGTTGATGGGGAGTAGGTATTCCTCCAGTTCCTCTTATGAGGCCTCTACCAGTACCTGCGACACAGTTCATATCCTTGTGGTGGCTTCCCAACTCTGTCATCTTGGGCAGGTTACTTAACCTGGCCATGCTATTTACTCACAGGTTAGGTGGAGTTAACCACTCAATACCCCTAGCCGCAGGAACTGTCATGAGGTTAAAGTGATGCCTGGCACAGCTCTCCATGAATGCAGGTGTTACTATTACCCTGAGGACCACCAGCTGTAGGACAGACGTGGGGCCAGGCTTCTCTCAGAGGATGCCTGGATGGTTCCACCGACACAACAGAGTGAAGATGGAGCTTCCTTTGGCTTTAGCCCCAAGAGCCACAGATCCTGAAAATCCCAGAAACTATGGCCAGCTCTAGGAACCCATTCCACCAAAGAAAACAGAAGCCAGAAGCCAAGCCAGGCTGTGGGCTAGGGTATCAGGACTGCCCCAATAGGTACCAGGGCCACAGCAGAACCTGGCTACCTGTTCCCTCCTCCTGGGTGCCTAAGAACAAAGTGGGAACTGTCTTTATTTAAATAAGGCATCCAATCCTGCATGGGAAAGTTTGTCTCCCGGGTCCTCCTCACACTGTTGACCCCAACCAGCTGTAAAATGCCATCCAATCCTGCCAAACCCTCTGTAGCTTCATTCTCTTCAAGTTTAAAGGACTTGAACTTTTTTTTTTTTCAGTACCGGGGATCAAACTCAGCTCTTTGCGCTTACATAGCAGGCAGCGAAACCACTGAGCTAAATCCCCGGCCCAAAAGGACTTGAACTTTAAAGATGATGTCCATTCACTCAGGAGACTGAGGCAAGATTCCAAGTTCAAGACCTGGACTACACAGACGACCCCATCTCAAAAAAACACAAAACCAAACAAAAAATATATATATGTGCTCTCACGTGCACCTCAAGGACACAAGGGGACCCTTAGTGTCTGTCTCTGAGGGCTGCTGACCACCCATGTTTCTCTCATCTCTGAAACCCACTGGCTGCAAGCACAGCCTTCCCCCAAGTTCCTCCTGTTACTGTGGGCACTTCATCAACATTAGGCAGTTTTCATTTTCCAAAAATAAAATGATATTGACGCTGCTTTGTCAAACTACACTCATGGCTCTCCCTAACCTTCTTTGCTGAAAGTTATCTAAAGTTATTCTCTGGCTTAAAAGGAAAACAAATTACAGGGCTGAGCGTCATGCCTCATGTGGACTCTGAACTTAAACAGCAACCCAACGGACCAAGCATCACTATCATGCCCACTTTACAGATGAGGGAAGCAGAACAGGAAGATAGGACAACTATCACCAGCACTGCTCCAGGCCAGGGCACAGTAGAGGTGAGTGTGGAGCTGGACCACAGCAGGCATCTTCCTCTGCTGCTGCTGCTGGGTGCTCTCAGTTTCCACTTTGGGGAGAACAGTACCTACCTCCTCACCTTGTTGCAGGCATTAAGATAATGTAAGGTGCTTGCCATAGCGCCTGACACCCAGAAAACACCCAACCAACCCAGCTCTCAAACCCTGCTGGTACCTCCCACCACACAGCCAATCCTACCTGCTGGCTCTCAGCCTCCAGGAGCACTGACCCTTTTTGGCTTTCTCAGGATTAACTAAAGTCATTTCATTCTAAAGCCCACATTGTTTAGCATTTACCAACTTCTGGTCCCAACTCCAATCCCAGGCCTTTTCAGAGTTAGGTCACAAGTCAGAGCCTCCAGTCAATCTGACCAGCATGTGTTGAACCCTGCATGCAAGGTACAGCTTTCCTCCTCTTGACCCGAGATCACAACCAGACCAGGCTGCTCCTACATCCCTGCCACCAAGGGTGCTCAAAGCCCCCCACCCCCAGCCAGTCTGCAGGTGAGGACAGGCCTGCAAACTTGGGCAGTGCCAGGGAGATCAGGTCCTCCAGCTCTAGGGAGTGTCAGTGCAACAAGACGGCAACATAAGAAGCTTGAAGCCTTTTATTGATAATTTTCCATACATAGAGATCCTTTCACTCCTCTCCAGTGTAAATAAGCATAGAAAAACTTAACCCTCATCTCTAACAAGGCAAACTGGGGACACCAAGGCCTGCCTTTTCTCCCAAGCCTGGTTCCTTGCCTGACCAGGACCAGACCCAGTTGCCAAACCCTCACCAAATAGCGTGGCCTGGCAAGAAAGCAGGCCTAGGGTGGGCTGCTTGTCCTCCCACCTGCCTCAAGTCCATGCTTAGGGAGTAGAAACACCTAGCCACTTATGCCTTGAGGTCCCAGGCAGGCTATGACTCCAGGGCAGAAGACCCTCACCCTCTTTATCCCATTCCCCTGTGCTGTATGTTTCCAGGAACCATGAAATAAATAAATAAATACTCTATAAAGGCAGGGCAGCTAGGGGGATGGGGGGCGCTCAACCAGGTCATGGCTTTAGGAAAGATGCTAGGCCCCTGAACATCCAGAAGGAAATATGAAATTGTTGGAAAGATGGGACCCTTAGTGGCCTTATCTTGTAATTGAGAATGTCCTCCAGGAAATGGCCCTGGAATCTAGGACCCAGACCAGCAAGATTCTACACTTCCCAGGACCCTCAAGGTCAAGGGCTTCTGGACCTCTGCTCTGCTCACCTGACTTCACATTCCATGGGACAAAGGATAGGGAAGGGAGAGGTGGCACAGGTCAGAGGAAGGTTTCCCTGCACTTGGGTGGGGGAGCAAGAGTGATCTGAGTGCCTGCCCTTCAGCCACCCAGGTGGAACTGAGGACTCCAGGGCATCATGCCAGTCCACTCCATAGTGGAGCTTCCCCATGCTGTGTTCCACAGATACTAGAGGACTGTATGAGTTCTCTGTACACTGCTCTCCTCTGGAGGAACCTGAGAACTCCAGCCTTGCTTTTAGAACAATCTGGTTATCCCTGGCCACACCCTCTGATAGGGAAATGATCGGATCCTGGTACCTGGAAGAGGGACATTCAAACAGCAGAGCTAGGTGTGGCATTCCCAAACTGTCTTGAAGGCTCTCAGGCTGAGGGACTGGCCCCATGTTCTGTAGGGAAGAACTTTTCCCAAGTGCTGGTCTGCCAGGATCTCCAGGCCCAGCCATATTGGTCCTAATCATTACAGCTCAGCTGAGCCAGGCCTAGCTCCCTGACCAGCCCTTAGTCCACTTAACTAACCTGGGCAGAGCAAAGCAAACAGACCGTCTAGGGGCACCTCTCCCTCGAGCTCTGAGCACAGCACTGCCAGCCTGGCTGAAAAAAGGGGAAGAAAGGGGAAGCCTACTGAGCAGTCAGGCCACGTTTGCCCAGCACAAGCCACAGGGGCCAGAGGTAGGGAGAGGAGGTCTATTGTTGGCCCCAGGACTGCTGGCAGTTGGAGCCTGGCCTCTCTTCTCACTTGCTCAAGGTCTGGTTACATGAGGCACACACAAACACAGTCTCTCTTTGGGCTTCAGGGGCTGAAAAGGAAGAACTTGGTGAGACATTTCTTTATGCCCTTTGGCTCATAGCCACAAGTACTAGAACTACCCTCCCCAAAGACCCAGAGAGACCACCCACCACCTAGGCCGCACCCTCCCTGAGCCAGCTTGCTAGCTTGCCCTGACACACCTTCCAGGGGAACTGAGGCCTCTGGGGTAGTGATACTAGGTCTTCCTGGGGGCTCTATGCATTAGACTTTCTCTTGGCACCATCAGAACATCTTTAAAAGTGTTTTTTAAATAAAATACCAGAGGAAATTTTCCCAAAAAACTTTTAACAGTGGTTATCTCTGGGTGGTAAGATTACAGGATTATTTTTGTCTTCCTTCTTCTGTATAGTAATTTCCAAATTTTCTAGTTAATAAGCACGTGTTACTTACAAGATCAGAAAAGAAAAAACTTGAGTTTACTGTTGTATCACAAAGTAGTAAGTGAACTGTGATCATGTTTTTCAGGAAGATGTGTGTGCAATTCATCCCACATGCATGCTGGAGGCAAGAAGGACCCACACCCAACTACTGTCTCCGAAACACATGAGGAATGTTTTCCTTCCTTTTGTTCATCAGTATGTTTTACCTACAATGAGTATATATATAGCCTTCATAAAGAAAAGAAATCATTTTAAAATTTTGTTTAAAATGTTATCAAACTAAGAACTGTGGTGTAGTCTGGGAAAGGCAGAGGGAAGCCTCCAGGCACTGCTAATGCACTGTTTGTTAACTTTCAGAAGCAGTCACAGGTACTCATTTTGCTATTATGTTTCCTAATTCCCATCTATTCTTTGCACTCATCAAATGCTTATGCTTTTCATTGTTAAACAGGATGGAGATGTTACTGTAGTCCTTGGTCTAGGACCCTCCCTCCTTTCCTACAATGTGGCCTTCCCTTGAGGGGCAGAAAGCAGCCAAGCCCCACCTTGACCCACTGCCAGCACCACTCACCTGTGGCCCCCATGGAGGACTTGGGTACCTTGAAGGAGCAGCACCGAGAGCAGAAGCTGTTCCCACAGTTACTGCAGCTCCGCTGCAGACAAGAGGCAAAGTTAATGTCAGATGAAGCCCCTACCCCAGGTACCTGGAGGCCCCAGCACCTCCCTCCTTTCCACTGGCCAATCCTACCCAGGGAAATGGGTCCTGGGGAGGTGCCCAGGTGGGACAGAATAGATGGAACACTAGACAGGAAGGCTGGTGAAGATGGACACATGGGTAAGGAAGAAGACATACTGTACTTGCTTTAGCAAACCACAGGTGCCAGGCCCCACATGACCTGAGGAGTTAAACTTCATCAATGACTCCCTTCAACTCTCCCACAACCCAAGTCACAAGCTCACTGTTCCCAGCAAATATACCCTCAAAGAGACTTACCCGCTTCTTCAGTACTGAGAAGGTAGCAGAGCAGCCTGTACAGTTCCCTGAGAAACAGAGGCAGCAGCTCAGTCTTGACCTTCACCTGCTTCTGGCTTTTCTAAATGGGGCACTAGGGTTATGGGCCCAGCCCAGATCCTCAGCTGGGTACAGTAAATAAGGAAGCAGAGCCCAGATTCAGAGCCAGAAGGAAAAACTGATAGATGGCCCCTGGGAACTACTGTCCCCAGGCCATGTGTGGTTCTAGTCCCTGCATGGCTCTAGTCCCTGCCTACTCCTATTGGCCCCACTCATAGATTCAGCAGAAATCCAAGAGCAGCCAGAGAACCTATTCCCTGGAATCCACCTAGGCTGACAAGGACCAGACACGGCATCCAGAAACGAAATCTGTCCAACTTGACTCCTTCTGAGCATTTCTTATAAATATTCTACCTATAGGGTAGACAGAAATGCCTCCTAGAAATGGAGACTCCTACTTTCTGTCAAAGAACTCTAAGACAGAAAGCTTAGAACCAGGCACCTTCCAAGAAGACACAAAGGTCAAAAGCTCAAGCACTGTGAGCAGCAGGCAAGATATGGAGGAAGACAGCCAGGAGAATGATCCTGCCTAAATAACCAGCAATGGCAAGATGACAAAGCTTCAGACAATGGCAGCTTAGAATATGGCTAGGAGAAGACAAGTCTAGTATAAGGAGGAATGAAGGATGAGGAAGGAGATTTCTGGACCTGGGGTCCAAGGCCTGCTATGATCTGGCCAGAGAAACTATCAGCTTCAGGGAGCACTACTGTGACCCCCCAGTCATATGTCTGGTCAGGTAAAAGAGCTGGCCTCACCTCTGCACAACAGCCCTGAAGCTATACCGACAGCTCTAAGTGGTTCCTTCCCACCAGAATCACCTTTAGTTCTTGCTAAAGAAGCTTCCTTGGGATTAAGGAAAGAAGCACAGCTAGAGTCAGGAGGACTGAGGCCAAGGTACTAGAGGTAAATGCTCATTACTGTTGGTCAGGTCATGGCTCGAGGCAGAAGGAGAGAAAAGCACAGGCCATCCCCACTGGTGGTACAGGAAACTGGCCACTCCAAGACTCTGGCCCCTACACTAAGAACAGAGGGAAGATAGCCTGCCCTTGCCTCCTCTTAGCAAGGGTGCAGAGCAATGGGGCAGGGCAAAGGAGCTACTCAAATATTGATACTCTGGCCCATGTCCAGGAATTGTTCTGAACTGCATGGAGAGCCAGGGCCAAACCCCCAGGAGACACAAGCCCACTGAAACAGCCAGGTACTCACACATAGGCCTAGGGCCAGGGAGGGTTATGGAATGGATATCAGCTCAGACATAAGACAGAGGAGGGAAGCAACCCTATTATTCCTTCCAATGTGTCCTCACTCTTTCTGTCCCCATTCTCAGCAGAGGCCAGGCCTCACCTATCCTGATTTACCATGTGATGAGGCCATGAGGACAATGAGTAGCAGGAGCTAAACACTCTATGGAGCCTACCAGGGTAATGGCCATGCAGCCTCCAGGACAGAGGGGCCCCTCATCAACAGGACTCACACACTTGGAGGCCACAGAGAAGCTCCTGAATAACTGGTCTTCATTCGTCCAATGTGCCCCTTCATCACTGACAAACAGAATGGAACAGCCGCTGCTAGAGTGCTCCCTAAAGTTCACACGTTGGCTCTTAATCCCCAAGCAATGGTATTACAAAGTGAGGCCTCTGGGAGGTGACTAGAAGGACCCTTACGGTAGGATTGGTCCCCTTAGAGATGCCAGGGACTGGCTTGCCCACCCTACCATCTGAAGAGGCAGCAAGAAGCAAGAAACATCTATGAACCAGGAAGAAGGCCCTTACCAGACCGTCATCATGCTGGTGCCTTGATCTTGGACTTTCAGTCTTCAGAATAGTAGGAAATAAATTTCTGGGGTTTTTTTTTTGTTTTTTGTTTTTTTTGATACCAGGGATCGAACTCGGGACTTTGTGCTTGCAGGGCAGGCAGCAGAACCACTGAGCTAAATTCCCAGTCCTAAATTTCTGGGTGTTTTTGTTTTGTTTTTTTTTGGTACCGGGGATTGAACTCGGGTCCTTGCGTTTGCACAGCAGGTGGTGAAACCACTGAGCTAAATCCCCGGCCCCTAAATTTCTGTTTTTTATAAGCCGCCCAGTGTAGTGAATTTTCTTATAGCAGCCCAAAGAGACTAAGACAGCCCCCAAAGCAACCCACCTATCCTGCCCTTGAAGTAAAGAATGCAAGAACATAGCAGGGGAGGAAAAGTTAAGAACCTGAAGGATGAGGACCAAAGAGGGCCTTAGGGAAAGAAGCAAATGCCCTTGCCATCCTTGAGGGAACTAGATAGGCCTTTGTGCATCCTGGCAGGGAATTTCCAAACTAAAAGCCAAATTCAAAAATGGGACAGACATAAAACAGGAACCTTCAGACACCAGGTGTCATGGTTTATATATAGATGTCCCCCAAGAACCTCAGGCGCTCATAGGCAGGGCTTTTGGAAGTGACTGGAATATGGAGCTTATGCTGACTTGTTAGGAGGTGGGCTCAGTCAGAAGAGGCAGGTTACTGTGGCCGTGGACTGGAAGGATTTATCTCCTGGCACAGCTCCTCTCTTAAGTCTCTCTCTCTGCTTCCTGTCTGCCATGCTATGAGTAGCTCTCCTTTTCCATGCCCCCGTGCCATGCCATCCTGCCTTGAAGCCAATCAACTATGGACTGAAATGTGAGCCTCTTTTAAGTTGAGGGTGTGGGTATTGTATCTCAGCAACTAGAAAGTAACTAAGACACCAAAGCAAAGAAAAATTGGAGTGACAAAGAACACAGGAGCCAAATCAGATGACCTGGATTTGAGGCCCAGCTCTATCATTTGCTGGCAAAGTCTTTGGGCAAATTACTCTTTTTTACCTCAGGTTACTCATCTGTAAAAAGGGAATATCTAAGTGCTTTTACTTGAAATGCATAAATATAAACAAATCATTCTTTTGTGGTGTCCTTCAGGACCTCTGGAACCTGGCTGTTTCTGAACCTATAAAACTGCCTCCTGTCACATCCACCATAAGGACCAAGCTCACGTATGTACAAGTACAATGAGCTCACAGATGCTCTACAGAAGTCGGTGGCAACATAAATGAAAAAGGGAACTAAAATGCTGAGGGCATTCACATGGCAAAAGGAAACAGCAGGTCTAGGATCTGTAATCCTGAGAAAACAATTGGCCGGCTTATTAGAGGTGCAAGAGGGCTGGCCCTGAGCCCTTAGGTCAAATCCTTTAACATAAACCCCAGACACACACCTAGAACTCAGTGCACACCAGAACACACAGTACAAGGACCACAGCAGCTCCCAGGTCACCAGCTGCTCTAGGCTTCCACCATGATTTTATCCGGCACTGCTCCAGAACTCTTGCTCTGAGCCAGGTCTCCAAACTGTGCTCACAGACAAATCCACAGGAAGATACTGTTTACTCTAACTTCTTTCTAGCTGGATCAGAAAAATCAAGACAGGCTCCCAGGAAATAGCTGGATGGGCCAGGGCCTCCTATATTAATGGTACCCATTTACTAAGCACTATCGACAAACTAGCTGGGTTCTGTGCTAGCCTGTAACAAGTACTGTGAGACCTAAAACAATCCTACAAGAACTATTAACCTCTTTTACAGAAGAGAAACTGAGACACAAGGAGAGGAAATAATTTGCTCAAGGACACTCAACGCCAGTAGAATTTCCACCAAGCAGTCAGGCTCCACTGCTCTTAGCCAGTCTGCTGCACCACCCTGCTGTCTGTAGTCCTAGGATGGCAGTTTGAAAATTGAGTTCTTGGGCTGGGGTTTAGCTCAGTGGTACCACACCTGCCTTGCAAGCTCAAGGTCCTGAGTTCGATCCCCAGTACCGCAAAGAACAGGACAGGACAGGACAGGAAAGAAAACTGAGCTCCTTGAATTCCCAAGAGCTAATGTTCAACAAGAAGACAGGGACAAGAAAAACCCACATTCATTCCTTCAACTCTCCCACTGGATATTTACTGGTTCCTCTTTACTCCTTGCTCTTATCACAAGTCTGTACCCACAGTTTCAAAACTCTACCCCTGTGGCCAATGTGCCTTCCACCCCAGCAACAGTCCCATCAAGTCCCTTCTGGCCACCCCAACCCAACCCCATACTTCCTTGGCCATACCAAAGTTGTTGGTAGGGTAACGCTTTCGAAGCCGCTCTGTGAGCCGTGACACCTTGATGCGCAACACCTCATTCTTGCTCAGGAACCCATTATCCTGTAGGGCCAGCTCATCCTCTGCTGGGCATGGGGTGCCCTCATCATCTTCCTGTGGGAACAGCTCGTTCCAGTCCTGCCCCCCTCTTGGAAGGCCTAGGACCTGCATGCAGAAGCACCTGGCCAGAGCAGACCCCATGAGGTGCGGCACGGCTGGCTTAGCCACTCTCCCCCCACGCCCAGTCCAGCCCTTGCCCACCTCACCAGCACTCCTACTTACCAGCACCACCAAGTGGGTCTCCTGCCTCCCAAGGTGCAGAGGAGAAAGGGGAAAAACACAGAACAAGAGATAGCAGGAGAAAGAAGGTGTGGCGAAGGGGAGGCCTCCAAGCAAAAGGAAACTCAGCACTCTGAGCACTGCCCAGAAGTGAGCTTAACAGATGCCCTCCCTGATAGGAGCCGTGGTGAAGTCTGGAGAAAACTATATGCTACTTTTTTTCACATGGGGTCATTATTCAAATAGAACAGAACATAAGGAAGGAAAATAACCCTTACAATGTCTTTCAGGAAACTGTTCCACTGAAGTTTTATGTATTTTACAGGGATACATAATTGTCAACTGCATCAAGACTAAAAATGTGCTCCTCGCTTAAAAGCCCCTGCTATACTTATCTCCACCTCCTCTAGATTCACAGCCTAGAATCATGTATCAGTCTTGGAGAAAGCTTGCAGCAGTCAAAAATTAAACACTCACAAGATGTAAGAGAAGAGCAAGCCAGGTGTAAATCATAGGCCTGGTAAAAAGTCACAAGAGCCTCACTGCTTACACCTCAATTTCCCACTTTACAGAGACATAAGGGAGAAAATTATTTCTACTCTAAGGAAAGAAATAGTGTAAATGTGATAATAAGTAGCAACTGTCAGTAGGCCTCAGAGACCACAGAAGACAGGGAGTGTTGGGGACTATGTATAACTGCAGCATGTGACTGGTCTAAAGAAGCTGGTGGGGTCTCAGTTACACTCACTGCTGCAGACCTGGAGACTAGAGAGCCCGAATATACAGAGTTCTCATTAAAATTTCTCCATTTGTGAGCACTGACTCAAAATAAATTTTGTTAACTTTGCAAGCCAAATCAAACACTTCTGAAAACTACCAGAATTGTGTTAAATCAAGAAGATTGTTGAACTTTTCCTGACCTAACACTTGGCCATACATTCACTTTCTCCAATCTCCCAAAGGGACATCTTACAGAACTCTGCAAAAAGAAATGCAGAGCAGCAGCCTCCTCCAAATCTGCCTTCCTATATCAAAGGCACTGAGTCCAATGTTTGCAACAAAGGTGAGAAGCCACATAACACCAGAGCAGGCCATTTCCCAGGGGCTTTCAGAGTCCTGCTTGCCCTGACCACCCAGCACATTTAACACATCCACAATGGGGCCATAATTTGTATGTCTCACTGTCTGGCAACTCTGATTTGAACATTCCTGCCAGCTTAAACCATTGGTGGTACAAGCTGCCCGATGGCTCAAGCCAGTGGGAATGTGTTAATTGGATGATCAACGGTACTCTTTCCACCAGTAAGTTCTATCCAGCTCAGGCCAAGTTTCAGCTTTCCATTTGGATGTAAGAGAATCAAGAAAAAGCAACAACAAAACCACAGCTTTAATACCACCCAACCTCTGCCCTGGCACTCAGTAGAGGGTGCGGGGGAAGGGCCACCCACCTCAATGGCATCTTTGAATTCTTCATCCGGCTCAGCCTCCTCAGCCTCCTCCACACTGCCCGGCGTGAGGTCCTGGGAGGAAAGATTCTATGACAAAAGGAGAGGAATGGCAGTCCTGCTTCCCACAATACAGGGCCACCTCCCCTGAGCCAGCACCCAGGCTCCCAAAATACCTGTTCCTGCCCCAGAGGAAATCGCACAACTGCAAGAAAAAAGGAAGTCACAGGAAAGAGAGCAATCTCTAACCCTGCAGGGCCAGAGTGATTGGTATACCACCAGAGCTAGACCTCTAGTGGCCAAGAGCAGGGCTCTGGAACCACAGGGCCTGGTCTGAGACCTAGGGCCTCCCTTACCAGCTTCGAGGCCTGAGAAGCCACTCTGTGTCTCACCCCTCTCTTCTGCCACTAGGAATCTCATTCTCAATACAACCACACTCAGTAAGGTTATCTCTAAGGTACTACAGGCATCCAACACAGAGTAAGCACTCAATAACACACAGGGCAACTGTTTTTATTAAATTTACTATTACTGGGCACTTCAGAAGAGATCAGGTTTGGGAAGAAGCAGGACAGAGGCCAATCTGGGGGCTATGCAATATGAACAAGCGGGTAAGAGGAAGACCCCCACCTGCCCATAGCCAGCTCTTCCTGATGGTCTGGGTACTCACCTCAGTGGGTGTGGGGGCAGGAGTGCTGTCCAGCAGAGCACCCTTCCCCTCAGCATCCAATAGCAGTGGGCTTTCAAAGGTACACTCTTCCTGCTTAGTGTTCATCCGCCGCTGCAGAGATGCCCTGTACTCAGATACCACTACCCAGGGCAAGGAAAAGAGGGTGGGGCAGACACAAAGCAGAATGAGTGGCACTCTGGGGATGTCCACTTCTATAACTGACTGGCTGCTTCCTCCAGCACCTCACCCTCTGCTACAGGAAAGAGCTGGCTTCCTAACTCTGAGCAAGTTACCTAACCTAAACCTCATGAACAAAACAGAGATACCACCTTCTACCCCAGATTGCTAGAGATTCCATTATGACTTCTATCTGTCATTACCATACAAACAAATATAGCACCACCCAAGCACATGTATAGGCCCAAGCCTCTGCCATGTCACTCAGGGCCACTCCAGACTGCCTCAGCACTTCAGAAGCCAGATGGCAGGCAGGTACTGGGGAATCACAAAGAGATGAGATCAGGCAGGAACTAAGAGATCACAAAACTCCAGGTGACTGCAGCGTGGGGGATGGGTGACAGCTTTAAGCACCTTTTCCTCATCCCCCAAAAACCAGTGTATCTGTAAGCAATGATTCCCCTCCCTTCAGAACAGAGGGGACCTCCCTGTGGGACCCTTCCCTGTGAGATGTCAGCCTCACCTAACATCTCAGAGACAGGAGACAGCCTTCCCCGGGAGAACCCAGTGTAGTGCTGCCCCCTCATGGAAGGCACAACAGAAGATTAGATGGACAGAGAGAACCAGGGAGCCCAAACTGGCCTTCATAGCCAGCCTGGGCCCCAGCTGTCAGGGTCCTCGGGGCTTACCTCGGAAAAACTCCACATTCCCCAAAAAGAGTGTGCTATTTAAAAGGATGAGTACCCAGCAGAGCGGCAGCAGATACAGCATGCAAACTGTGCCCAGAAGGGCTCCATAGAACCTGAATGACAAAGGAAAACAAAAACAGAAATTTACAAGATCAGAAGGAAACAGGTTTGAGCACACTTATACAGATGTCCAGGTGAAAATGAGCTCTGACCTCAGTTAATAAACTAGATAATTAAACAAATGGAAAACAGTGATGAGAAAAAGTTCAGAGGTACCTACAAGTCATTATTTGCTAACAACTGATGCTGGTGAGGCTGTGGCAGCGTCTGAGGCTGCCACATGAACACATGAACTTGTTCAATTGTCATCGCTCTCAGGGTCTAGACTCTGAAGTCTAGAGCCAGACCGGATCTGAATTTTTTATATTTATTTATTTATTTTTGTGACAGGGTCTCGCTTTGTAGTTCAGGCTGGCCTTGAACTCACTATGTAACCCAGGCTGCCCTCAAACTTGTGACAATCCTCCTGCCTCAGCCTCCTAAGTGCTAGAATTACAGGTTTGTGCAACCACACCCAGCCAGACTGGATCTGAATGTAACTCTGCCACATCTCTTTGTAGCAAGTTCCTTGGTTCTCTGAGTATTATTTCTTCATGTGTAAAATGGAAATTAAAATAGTGCCTACCTCAATTAGATTACTATAAAGAGTAAGATAATACACAGTGTTGTCTAAGCACAGTGCCTGGCACTAAGTAAAGACTAGATAAATATTAGTCATAATTATGATTCATATATAAATACCCTCATAGCGAGGCATGGTGGCACATGCCTATAATCCCAGGACACTGGTAGCAGAAGAATCACAAGTTCAAGTCCAGCCTAGTCAACTTAGCAAGACCCTGTCTCAAAAATAGGAAAGGAGGGCCGGGGATTTAGCTCAGTGGTTCCGGCGCCTCTCAAGTGCGCAAGGTCCCGAGTTCGATCCCCGGTACCAAAAAAAAAAAAAATAGGAAAGGAGTGTAGACGTAGCTCAGTGCAAAGACCCTGGGTTCAATCCCCAGTACCACTGGAAGAAAAAAAAAAAAGCCTCAAAACATCCATTCCATTTGATTTAGTAGTTTTATCCTTGAAGTTATTCTAAAGAAAAAAACTTCAGGGCCGGGGATTTAGCTCAGTGGTTTCGCTGCCTGCTGCGCAAGTGCAAGGACCCAAGTTCAATCCCTGGTACCAAAAAAAAAAAAGAAAAAAACTTCAAAAGACTAAAGCTAAATATGCTTACTATAGTTAGTAATGAAATGTAGAAATTGATTAAACATATAATACAATGGTCCATAAATCACAGTCTATATTAATCTTGTATTACAAATAATGTAAGGGCCTTATAAAAACAAGGAAAATCACTTAAGATATAATTAATAAAAAAGAGAAAGAAACCCGATCTATATTATGAGGCTGTACATCTGTAGAGTATATGCATATGACCAACTCCACAAGGCAAACTGAACATTAGCAGCTATTTCATGGTAGATTACATGGTGAGTTATTTTTCTATTATTAAAGTGCTTCTTCTATCACACATTTTTTTAAAAAGCATCCAAACAAAGGCGATACATTAGCGCCCACAAGCACAAGTGCAGATTTACACGCTGGGTGCCCTTCCCCTGAGGCAGGAGGGCCAGAAGCCCTCTCGAAGCAGCTGGCCGCATTTGGGGTGGTTTCAAGCTGCAAACTCCTACAGAGATGTGGAGGTGAGAGGAGAGCCACTCACTGTGAGGACACCACAGGATTCTCCCAGTGCAGCACTCGGTAGGCGGCTTCACAGGTGTAGCACAGACGGGTCAAAAAGGCCTCCAGCTGAATCAAGCTGCAAACACAGTGGCTTCTGTGAGTTGGCAAGATGGAAGCTCTGGAAAGGCAGGGCCTGGGATCTGGAAGGAACAGCTGGCAAAGAGTAGCCAACCTCCTTAAACACAGTGGATGGGTTACAAAAGCATGGGAGAAAAAGGCCTGGCCGTTTCAGTTCTCTGTTTGAAACACACCCCCCAACCCCCAAGGTGGGAACAGTGCCTGCTCTTGCTTGCTTAGGCAGGCTGCTTAACTTTTCCAGGGCTGCAGTTTCCCCATCTACAAAATGAGAATCAGAAGACCCAAAGCACAACAACTGTGAGGATCAACAGCAGAATGCAGATCAATGTTTCTCTACCTACAGTGTAAGGCAGGCTCCCTTGGGTAATTTCATTTTGTTTTAAATGTGGATGTACCCAAGATGCCATGAGCACATCCCATACCCAGGTATAGTTTCCTGAAGGCTCCTTGGAGAAATGGCTGCTTCTAGACCTGAGGCAGGGAAGGTATTAAATGAACTTAAATATCCTATTGTACTTGAAAATGATGAGGAAGCATTTAAAAATGATGGGGATATATTGAAAGAACACAAAAACCAGCTCAAAAGCCATCCCACTGCCAAATTTAGGACAACTTGGGATCAAAATAATGACAGTAGGGCCGGGGATTTAGCTCAGTGGTTTCGGTGCCTGCCTCGCAAGCGCAAGGTCCTGAGTTTGATCCCCGGTACCAAAAAAAAAAAAAAAAAAAACTACTAAATATGTCAAGGTCATAAGAAACAAAGACTGAGGAGCTGTTCCAGATTAAAGGAGACTAAAGAGACATAAAAGCTAAATGTTAAGAGATAAGAATATGCTCAGTAGAGCACATGCAAGGCCCCAGGTTCCATCCGTTCATTGCTAAACACAAAACAAAAAACCCAATATAATGTGTGATCCCAGACTGGATCCTGGTAGAGGGGAAACTCATAGAAAGAACTTTATTAAGGGCTTGGGTATAGCTCAGTGGTAGAGCACATGCATAGCATGTCTAAGGCCCTGGGTATGATTCTAGGACAAGGATAGGGAAAAAAGAACTTTATTAATAGAACTGTTATAATGTGATTATGAAATATACATATATATAATAGTACTAACATTAATATTATAAATGTTAAACTTTTTAATTCTGATTACAGTACAGTGAGTATAAAGAGAATAATTGTTCTAGCTGGGTAAAGGGTATATAGGAACTATCTACACATTCTTGCTCCTCTTCTGTAAATTTAAAATTATTTCAAACTTTAAATTAAAAAAAAAAGATACTGAGTCCTCATTTCAACAGCGTATATACTAAACTTGGAATTATAAGGGAAGATTAGCATGACCCCTGCCCAAGCATGATACACAAATTCATGAAATGTTCTATATTTTTTAAGATTTTGAGGACAGTGAAAGTACTCTGTATAATACAATGAATATATGTCATTTTCCATTTGTCAAAACACATAGAATGTACAACACCAAGAGGGAACCCTCATGTGGACCAAGGACATTGCATGAAGATCATGTCTTAATGTAGGTCCACTAACTGTAACAAACGCACCCCTGTGATGGAAGAGGCTGAAGTTCAGGTGACTGTGGTAGAGGGAAAAGGAGGATATGGAAACTCTCTGTACTTCCTGCTCAATTTTTCTGTGTGCCTTAGGAATTAAAGGGTTTTAAAAAACAAAAACAAACAAAAAATAGATACTAAGGACCCACTCTTGATGACTCAGAATTTCTGGGCAGGGCCCAGGCACCCATTTGTTACTTTTTTTACTCCCACTGTTACATCAAAATCCTACACAGAGCCTCTGAAGTTGTCACAGTTAGTATTATTGAACAGTCTTAGGACACTTCCTCAAAGTACCAACTCTGTCAGGTTTTGGAAGTTTCTCCAAAAATGCAGCAATGATGACTAACATTTACTAAGCACTTCCTGAGTACCTGGCAATCAAGCAATCTTCCCAACCACCCTGTGAGTGAACCCTAGCCTCATCCCATATAACAGATTATAAATCTGAGGTGTAGGGAAGCTAAGTGACTTGTCTGATGCTACATACGTGGAAGAGCTGGTATTTGAACCTAGCCAGACAGTGGCTCCTGTAGGCACATGCTTAGTCAAGACTCCAGACCATCCCTTTAGGAGAAAGAACATAGCTATGAAGTCAGCTGAATCTGGAGTCTCAACCCAGAGGTCACTTCTAACTCTTTTTTTCACACATAAGTGGAGGATAATAATAGGAGCCACTGCCCAGAACTGTTAAAAAGATTAAATGAAGTAACATCTGTGGTTCACCCAATACAGTCCCTTGTGTACTCAGCAAGCACTTAGTGTGGTGGCTGCTGCTATTCTTGAATCACTTGTTCTCATCCCTCTGTCCTCTCTTCCATACTCACAAGCTCTTCACCTCAGCCATGGCCTCAGGGCGGGAAAGGCGAACTTTCTGCAGGTCTTCCTGCCTTATGCTGTGATATTTCTTCCGCATCAGCTCGGACTCTGGCAGCCGTGCCCGGCAAACCTCCTGAAGGTAGCCGAGCAGGGCGGGGGCTGAAATCATCAAGGCACCCACCGAGTACCAAGCACCTATGGGATCAAGAACACTACAGGTAGCACAGGTAAGCAAGTTCTAGGAGCCTGCCTACCATGTCCACTTGCTTGCTCCCTCGCCTCCTCCAGGACTCTGCTTAAGCAACCTTCCCTGGTCACCCAGTAAGACATGGTATCTCACCCCACCCACTACCCGCCTTATCCCAGCTTTGATTTTCCCCATAAATTAGCATCTCCTCCACTAATATAAGCTCTTGAGGACTGGCACTTTGTCCAGTCACTGATGTAGCTCTTGCTTTTTATGTTTTGTTTTGTTTTGTTTTGTTTTAGGGTTTTTTCTGTTTTTGTGAGATAGGGTTTCACTATGTAGTTCAGGCTGGCTTTGAACTACTCACCAGGTAGCCCAGGCTGGCCTCAAAATTGAGGCAATCCTCCTGCCTCAGCCTCCCAAGAGCTGGGATTACAGGAATGTATCACCATACCTGGCTCTAGCTGGGGTTTTTTGGGTTTTTGTTTTTGGGGGTTTTTTGGTACTGGAAATCGAACTCAGGACCTTGCACTTACCAGGCAGGTGTGGCACCACTGAGCTACAACTCCGGCCCTCTAGCTGTTTTTAATACATTAAAAAGGGCCTGGAGATTTAGCTCAATGGTTCCGCCGCCTGCCTTGCAAGCGGAAGGACCCAAGTTTGATCCCGGGTACCAAAAAATTTTAATAAATAAATAAATACATTAAAAAATACTGCTAGCACACAGTAGGCAGCTCATGCCTGGAGTCTCACTCCTCAGAGTTCACAAGAACTAACATTCAGATCTTTGAGGCATTAGGACAGACTGAAAGTCTTTCCTTTAGCTTTTAAGGTACCATAGGACACTGGATTGACAAATACAGAGGCTGAGATTAAAGAAGAAACATCTTCCATGAACTTGATATCCCAACAACAAGCTAAGGAGCACCAGGCCCACAATAAATGCTTGTTCAATACCTACTATAGGAACTGATTTATTTTGGAAATATAACCAGAAAATCTTAACATCCTAGGAAGTTCTGATCAGAGATGAGTCTAACTAAGAAAAAGAATGAGATCTTATAGGAACTGTGTTTATTTTCAACCCTTTGAATCCGCATCTCCAGAGGAAACAAAGGAGACATTGGAGAATGTGTTCACTACAAGAAAGAATACACATATAAAGAATTAGCTCCTCGGGACATTCTGCCCCAGACCCTTTACTCATTCCCCTGAAGGGGCTATTTTTTTTCCTGCATCATCGGCCAGTTCTGATCAGGGAAAGGGCTGGGTCGAAGCAAACAATGTAGCAGGAGGGCTGTAGGAGACATCACCATCTAGGACCCCGACATTCATCCACCTGTCCAAACGTCTCTCTCAAAGGCTTCAGGCCTCTCCTCACTGCTGGTGACTGCCCTGCAGAATCCCTAGGCTCATTTGATGGACAAGGAGAAATAATCAAACTGGAAAAAAATTCCTTCTCAGCTCATCTTCCTAGTACTTTTACCCCATGCCATGTCCCCAGATGACCCCAGAATGAGCTAGAAAAGCACAAAGGAAAAAAGTCAATGCATTAGCAATCAGTTAAGAAGGAAACAATAATAACAATAATATCAGCTACAATGTACTGGCTGATTCTATTATGTCAGGCACTGTGCAAAGTGCTACACATAGACTATCTCCTTCCTCACAAATACCCTATGAGAAAAGCACTATTATTATCCTTCTTTTAAAGAAGAGGAAAATTAGCCCTCAACGGATGGGTTAAATAGTTTGCCCATGGTCGCCCCAGCAGCTCAGCCTATATTATCCCTTCAAAGCCTGAGTTCTGACTCCAAGCAGGCAGAGAGAAGCTAACCCAGGACAAGAAGAGTAGCTCTTGCAAACACAGCCATATCTCAGTATTCCTCCACCAGTCATTCACAAAAACCCACCAGCCTTGAAAGCAGTTCTTACCCTTATTCAACGTGAGGAACAAGATGTTGAGGCTCAGGCAGGTCAGCAAGGAACACAAAGGTGTCTGCCACCTACAAAACAGAGAGTCCTGATCATCAGACAGTCACTCTCCAGCTGGGAGGGGGAGCCCTGACAGCAAAGATGGGCAGGTCAGTAAGGAACACAAAGGTGTCTGCCACCTACAAAACAGAGAGTCCTGATCAACAGACAGTCACTCTCCAGCTGGGAGGGGGAGCCCCGAAAGCAAAGATGAGACATCCAAGCCAGGAGATGAGGAAGAGGCCTGGGGCACAGAGGACCACAGAGAAATAAAAAGTGAGCCCGTCTCTTAGATATGCAACCAGGAGAAAAGAGAAGAAGTCACATATTAATTAGCCTTAGAGTGAGAAAACTAGACCTATAAAACTTCCTCCCAAAAGGAGGTTTCTGTTAAGGAACCTGGTTAACACTGTTTCACCTATTACTTTTGCAGTATTAGAGATTGAACCCAGGGCCTTCACACTAAGCTATATACCCAGCCCTTTTTCTTTCTTTTGAGAATGGGTCTCCTTAAATCGTTAAGTTACTCAGTCTGGCTGAACTTGCTATCCTCCTGCCTTAGGCCCACAGAATGCTAGGATTATAAACGTGCACCACTAGGCTCAGCTTCACCTGTGCTTTATAAGTGCCTAGTCTCCTTGACAGTAAACTGACATTTTTCTTTAATACTTTCCTTTATTCTTTTTCACCACTTCATAATAACTTACAACCACTGCATAAGAATGATCTAATACAGAAATCAAGAAAGAACAAATTATGGATTTCTTTGCCTCCCTTTGTGACTTTATCATCTTATGTCTATATTGTGAGAGTCTGAGTTTATCTTGAATATTAAAAAGAGGAAAAATAATAAAGATTTTATTTTAATGTATTAAAAACTGAAGATGAAACTAGAATGCAGGATTCACTCAGTAAAGACACCCTTATGAACTGGAACAGATGGAAGCAGGTACAGACACAGCTCCCAGCACCACCAAATGGCAATGGAGCAGTTCCCAAGAGGGAAAGAAAAAGACCAGAGGTTTAGATTGCTGAGGTCAAGCAAGTGCTGCTGGCTTAGTCCCTAATAAGGGACATTTACTAGGGAAATAAGAGCACAGATATGATAATGAAGCCACGGACACCTGAATTCTAAAGCAGTGTCAGATATACAAGGTGCACCATCAGAGACAAATATAATCAGGTAAACAGTGGCAAACAATTCACTCAGAACTTAAATGTATTTTTTATGCTCTAATTAGAGAATTTCAGTTACTAAATGAGGTTAATTTGTAGTTGTTTTATTTATTTATTTATTTATTTATTTATTTTGGTACTGAAGATCGAACTCGGGACCTTGCACTTGCAAGGCAGGTGGCCGAACCACTGAGCTAAATCCCTGGCCCTCTGTAGTTGTTTTGTTTTTGAGACAAGGTCTCACTATGTAATTCAGACTGGCCTTGAATTCACTATGTAGCCCAGGCTGACCCTGAACTCATGCCAGTCCTCCTAACCCTCTTGAGTGCTGAGATTATAGGTGTACAGCATCATGCCTGGCTAAATGATGTTAGTTTACATGAGACTTTTTAATACAAATTAGGAGGGAATGAAATAACACTCTTTGCCTTTCTCTTGAAATTCAACACACTCCACCTGTATTACCCTACTCAGACCTCAGAAACTCTGGTGGCTGCTACCAGAGTAAAAGCTAAACAGAAACTACATCTAAGGCCAATCCTACACCAGAAATAGGAACATCACACCAACTACTGAAGTCACTTTCATTTTCAAAACTCTCCCATCCTTCCTAATGTTTGGCTCTAGGAGACCCACATAAGAGTGGTTGATCCCAAAACAGAGAGTCTTAAAATTGACTGCGGCTTCAGATCTAATAGCCAAAGCCCAAGATTAGGTTCCTCTTCAAAGTCAAATCCTCTTTACTAAGAATCAAAAGCACATACTAATCTGACAGCCACATTCACAGACCAGTGTTCCCTCGGCCAGCAGGAGAGACCACTGGCTGGGAGAGAAGGGGTTAGGTGTGATGTTCCACCTCCCTCTAGCTCTAACCAATCCCACCATATCCTCAGGAGACGAATCCCTCCTCCTCCCTACCTCTTACACCAAGAGCAGAGTGATTTACAGTAGAGAATATGACTCTGGAACACTGGGCAACATAGCAAGACCCTGTCTCCAGATGATGATGATCATGATGACAATGGGGACCCACTATTTCTAAACTGAGGCAAAGAAGAAGACTCAACAGCACCCTCAGAAGTCACCACACTCTGTTCACCCTGCCTCCCACCAGTCTTTCCAGGTACTGAAGGTCTTTATGAGAATCTGACAAAACTAGAAGTTTTTCCCCCGAAATAAACATGCATGAACACACATAATTTTACATGCCATTTCAGGGAATTCACTAACCCCTAAAATCCACCAACAGGCTCTAATTTAAGAACCTCTGCACTTTAAGACAACTAGGTTTTAGGAGATTCCTGATGTGATGCAATAATGACACAACTTTTTTTTTTTTGTAACGGAGATAGAACTCAGGACCTTGCGCTTGTGAGGCAGGCGGCAGAACCACTGAGCTAAATCCCCGGCCCCAAGGACACAACATTTACCTTTGCCAAAAAAGAATTTTTTTTTTTTGGTACTGGGGATCGAAAAAAAGAATTTTTTTTAACTTGAATTTAGTTCAACTTTTAAATCTAACTTCCAGTTTCCACTGTAAGTAAACAGACAAATCTAGGTAGGAAATTCTCCAGCTCAGTTAGCTCAGTCATTTCAGCATGGATGAAACAAGTGATTGGTTCAGATTGAAAAACATTTATGGAACTTATGTCCCTTATGTCTTAATCACACACAATGCATCATCCCAACCTGATTTGTATACATGAAATTTCTGGGGAAAACTAGAGAAACCTAGATACAAACCAAGTATAAAAAGATATCAAGGAATTATTTATTATTGCGTTAGATATGATGGTGATGCTGAAAGAAAATGTCCTTAATTATTAAGAGACACAAACTGAAGTATTCAGGTAGGAGAAGGCCACCTATCTGTAATTTAAAATACTTTTAATTTAAGAAACAAAGTGAGGGGCTGGGGGATTTAGTTCAGTGGCACCACACCTTCCTTGCAAGCAAAAGGTCCTGAGTTCGATCCCCAAAACCTCAAAAAAAAAAAAGAAAGAAAGAAAGTGAGGTGAAAGAAGGAGAAAAGAAAATTAGGAAGAATGAAAAGCACAGCAGGACAGGGGAAGAAGTGAGACCCATAGTTTCAGGCAACTAGTGAAAATGGTACCTGCTTAGTATTAGAAACAGTATTTGTTTCTAACTTTTCTCCAAATTATATCCTAATTTTGATAATTATGTTAAAACTGGAAGAGAAGGGGGAAAAATTAAGCCTGCTAAAGCTACAGAAGGCCAACACTGAACAATTCTATCAGTCCTGAGACCGGACCTTTTCCAGTCACAAAGAAGAAACTTGATTAAAAAGCTAGATGGTTCCCCAGTGCCTGCCTCTCCTGGATGGGTGCTGAGACACCTGGATAAATCTAGAGGCCAAATAAACTATCCAGAACTGGTCCTCACCAGGGCAGAAAAGATAGCCCAATCATTGCCTAAATAACCGGCACTATTACAGAGCAAGGAGGCAGAAGGTCCCGCAGCCCAAAACAACTCCATAAAGTCTGTACCTGAGCAAGTATCGAACACCATCACCTGCATCCTTCAGAGGTTCCAGGTAGATCTCCAGTCTCTTGTAGGACAGAACCAAGTTGAAAAGATCAAATGCTGGGGTCTTGGTAGGGACAGGTGGACATTCCGAGAATGCCTCAGACATCACACCGGGGCTCACTTCTGAACCACTCCCCTCACGCTCTGATGTCTGCATCCTGTAACCATAATAATTCCCAACATTTGTTATGTATTGCACTCCCAGGCCCAACACACTTCTTGCATTATTTCATGTGGTACCCATAGTAAAAGTGAAGTGGATTACATGTGGAATACCCATTTCACAGAGGAGGAAACTGAAGTCATTAATTACTCAAGACACAAAATCCTGTTCTTCAGACTCCCATCCAATGCTCTTTTCCCCACAGACCCATCAAGAATGCAGGATGTTACACACAGGCACACATGGTTGCTGGAGGGAGGCAGCCTGTGCTCTCAAGAGAAATGATGTCCTGGAATATTCTTTCTTCCTCTTTTTGAAGTGTCTTGCTATGTAACCCAGGCTGGCCTCAAACTGGGCAGGCTGTCCTGGGATTACAACTGCACAAGACCACGCCTGGCTTTTCTTTCTTTCTTTACCAGTTAACTACTAACAACCTTCCAGTGTCAGTTTAAATATCACTCCCTTGCTCTAGGAAGGCTGCTTGTTTCCCCCTACTATTTGGCTGGTCTCCATTCATCAAAGTTTCTGTACACAGTAGGTGTGTAGTAACTACAACTTGCTAAACGAGTAAACGAGTTACATTCATCCAGGACTACCATCCTCTCTCTACCTTACGCCATCTTTTCTAATCCTTCCTCTTCCTTTGTTCCCAACAATTTCATGGACCAGCCCTGCCCATAAAGCAGCAATCACCTTCCTAGACACCCCATTTCAATCTCCCCTTTCTGATGAAGAGAGCCACAAGAACCTTCAGGCTCTTTCCTAATATCAAAGTCCTACCACCCCCAGCGCTAAGCAGTAAATGAGGGGGCGGAACCTCCGCAAACAGCCAGTCCCAGGCAATAAATTGCAACCGGAGGTGGGGAGACAACAAAGTGGTTGTTGGGAGCCCGAAATCCCCACGGACAAAGCCTGGGGTAAAGGTCTCAGGCGGGGCGCTGGAGCCTAGGAAGGAATAAAGCAGGTCAGCACCAGCAGATGCCTGGACCACCACCTCTGCAGCCCAGGAAGCCTGTTGGAGTCCCAAAGGCCCAGACGGAAGCCACGCCCAAGGTCGCTCGGCCAGAAGGTGGCGGCCCTACCAAGGCCGGGCGCCCAACTCTGCACAGTCGCGCGAACGCGGAGGCGGGAACGTGATGGCACCTCACCTACCCGGTCGCTGGCTTGGTGGAGGGAGGGGAAGGGACGGCCCGGAGCACCGGGAAGGCCACTGGCCCGCCGACAATTTCTTCGGCCCCACCCCACCACTGTGTTGCGACGCCTCCTAGGGCCGTTCTGAAGTGGCAGGAATGAGGGCCACCTCCGCTGTCACCAGCACTTCCGGGACGCGAGTCGCTGTACGGCGGCGTGCCCGTGACGTCATCGCGGCGGTCCCGCCCCTGGCCCCGGCGCCAGGCTTAGTTCCGCTCTAACAAAGGGGAGCACCCTCTTTCATACTGCGCCTGCGCGCCTTTTCCCCCTCTGCAGCTGCTAGAGTTAAGTTTTTTGTTAGGCAGAGACTCATAAAATGTGGAGCCTGGGAGCACACGCCTAGTGACCCTACACTTTGCTACCCCGCCTCACTCTGAAAGACTCTGGCAAACAATCGACTGGAGAGAAGCACAATTAAAGAATTTACATCATCATCCCCTGCCCCCAACTTTGGCGGGCACTTACCTGGCTGTTGGCCCTGAAGCTTGTGAATCGAGGAAAGGAACTATACATGTCCTGTATGCCAGTACCGAGCAGAGAATGCCGTTCTGAGTCTCCTGCTGTACACAAGATCCGCGTGGGCCTTTCCCAGTTCAATCCCCTTAATACTGTGCAGTCCAGGTAATGTCCCTGAAACCACACGTGCGATAGCTATGCATTAATGACATATACTTACTTACTGAGGGTTCACCAACTGCCAAGCACCTGACTAAACTCTCTTGGGGCATTATGTAGTCCTCCAATAACCCCATTAGGGCTATCGCCATTTTACAAAGGAAATATCCGACATATGTTAAGGAAATTCTCCATTGTCACAGGAAATAAGCAACTGGGATCTGGGATTTGAACCTCACATGTTACGGACCCCAGCCCTCCCAGCCATACCTATATTGCTACCCACTTTTACCTGCATTTCCTGGCCTCATCCCTGCTGCTCTAGTCTTCAGGTGCCTCAATATCAGCCAACTGAACCACTCCATTGTCATCTTCAAATACTACTTGGGCTCCTGTCTCCTTTATTGCTTGGAATGCCCTTCTGCCACCCTTACTTCTGTCCAAATCCAGCCCAGTCCACTCAGCAAGAGTCAAATGTCTGCAACCCATCCCTGGTTGCCCCAGCTGGAAATAATCACTTCCCTTTCAACCACAGAAGTTTATCCATATCTATTGCCATGCTCCTCCAGCCAAGACTCAGCTATGTTCAAAATTCCAACTCTTCTTACTTCTTGAGCCCTTCCACGATCTAGCCAGCCCTGAAATCCACATTCTCAGCAGCTCTTGCCTCTCATCCTAGAGACAAAAATCCATGGAAAATGTTGTCTTTACACCTTTTGCCTTCCCTATTTGGAACCCTTTCTACCTTTGCTTCCATACCCAGTCACTCTTCACTGCACCAAAGTCCCTACATGCCACAGGGCTACCTGACTGCTCCCCTGTGACATCCTGGCTGCTAAATCCAATGGACACCTTAGGTCCTCCTTGCAGGTGAGCTCTGCAGCATTAGAGCCACCACTCCTCTTCCCTCAAATCATTGTCCACCTTAGCCAACATGATATCATCCTGTCCTACTCCAGGTCTCCTTAGGGCTCTTCTTACTGTCCCTCAAATGCTGTCCATCTGGCATCCCCTTCCCTCTGACTCCAGACACTCTCCCGAGGATCATTCATTCTCAGGACTCTGTCTGCTAATACTTCTCATATCTATGTCTTCAACAACTGGAACAGCATCTGGCACATTGTAGGCCTTCTGTAAAAAAGGATTTGAAGATGTTACTGTTGGTGGACAGTACATGGGATATCTCTGTTATTTCTCATAACTATCTTTACAGTTATCTCAAAATCCAGTGCTTATACTATGTGGGAATTTTGTTTGTTTGTTGTACCAGGGATCGAACTCGGGTCCGTGCACTTGTGCAGCAGGCAAATACGGGAATTTTTTATAGCTCCTTGTTTAGTCAACATTTTCGATTAACTGGCATATGCCATGTCCCAACATGAGTAGGGTAAGAGGCCTTCTCCTTGGATGAGTTGCTCAGTTGTTTTTTCCAGCTATAAAATGGAGATAATTATAGTAGCAACGTCACAGGGATGTGGTAATAATTAAATAAGCTAATGGATATAAATTCCTAGTATAAGTGTTCAAAAATTGTTAGCAATCATTGCTGTTTTTATTTTCACTCAAAACCCTATCACCATCACCCCAGCCCAGAAATCAGACAAGAAGGGCTAGAACGTAGACATCCGAATCACACACACACCAATAAGCTATATTCAGAAATCACTCCCTCACCACCCCTTAGAAGAATGAGCTCAGCATTGTGTCCCCACTGAGAGCTATCTGCAGGACTCTGCCTCTCCTCCCCAGGGATGAGTCTTTTCCCAGAAGGTCTCCTTGGTCTTTTTATGCAGTTAGCTTCTGAAGGCCCCACTGGTCCTTCTCCTGAACCAGCTCCAAGTTTGAATTCCAAAAGAGCCCAGTGCCATTCCATCCTGACTTCTCCCCACTTCTTCTTCACCCTCCCTCCTTTCTGTCTCCTGCTCAGACCATCCTCTTCCTGGAACATTTTCAGTGCCACCCTGTCACCTCTAGAGAACACTCCTCTGAAAGTTCCCCAAGTGTGTCATGTCTCACAGTGCTATGCCTTTTTCAGATTTTCCTCCCCATTCTTTACTTAATCAACTCTTATTCTTGTTCCAAAACTCAGCTCAAGTCTCAGCCCTTCAGGAAGATTTCCTGAAGAGCATCTGAATTAGGTAGGTGCCCCTTCTGATTTTTCTCCATGTGCTTGTCCCACCCCAGCACTTGGCATATGCAAAGTCATTGTCTATTTACATGGCAGCTCTTCTTCTCTCTAGGCTGTGAAAGTCCTGAGGAACTGATTTGACTTTAACTGTATGTCAAGCTTCTAGCACAAAATAGGTATCCAATAAATGTGCATGTCACTTTCTTCCTTGTATTCTAGCTAGACATGCACATATCTTCTCTCTCTTTCTGGTTGTTGACTTCTGGAGGGCTGAATTCATGTTTCTTTTTATCCAAGACCCAGAATAATGCCCACTTCTTAAAATGGTGACGGAGACTTGATAACAGGCCTCAATTTCTACCCTCCATGGACCTCTAGTTGAATAGGAGACCCTGACTTCACCATAATACAAACCAGTGAGTCCTATAGTAAAAGTATGTGCAAAAAAAAAGGACAGATTTAGACTAAGAGATAGGGAAGTTTTCTGGACAATCTAGTATTTTAATTAAGAAGACCCTTCCCTTCTTAGAAGAAAAAAAATTAGGGAGGGGGCGGTTTACCAGGGATCGAACTCAGGACCTTGCGCTTGCGAAGCAGGTGCTGAGAAAGAAGAAAAATTTTGACTTCAGTGTCTCAACTACCTGAAAGTCTACCATAAGTAATTCACTCCAAATAAAACTTTCACATTCTGGTCGGGGATTTAGCTCAGTGGTGCTGCTGCCTGCCTTGCAAGCTCAAGGTCCTGAGTTTGATCCCCAAAACAAAACAAAAATTTTTTTTCACTTTCTTTGCAATTCTTCCTCCTCGTGGTACAGTTGAATGGGCCAATAATAGTCCAGGTTCTTGTATATGACAAGGAAAGAATTGCCAAGCATACACCCAGTGGTAAGTAGTAAGTGGCTACATATATAGATGATCACAGGAAAGGTAGCAACAGCAATAGGAAAAGGGGAAAAGAGGGGACCCATAACCAAGGCTTTCAGTTTTGTTTTGTTTTGTATTTTGGCTTTCAGAATTTTAAAGGCCAGACCCCTTTGGCTTTAGGTGCCTCCCATTGAATCTCCCTTGGTGCCAGTGCATAGGAATCTCTTAGGCTTTTGTTATTTCATTTTGTACCTCTCTCAGGATAATGGAAGCAGGAATAAATGTTGGGTGCAGTTTAGGTTTAGATGGGGGAAGGGAGTGACTCACTTGGCTCCTTTGTTTCTAACTGTACTACTTGGGTCTGTCTAGACCACTGGCCTCAGACTGGCTGTGGCTAGTAATAGTATGGGTTTTCATCTCTGGCTGCTATATAATTGGGGAATATTATTCAAAAACTCCTACACATTATTTGAGAGGGTTATTGGAGGATATAAGAAAGTTCTAAAGACCAGAAAAGGACAGCAGTCATGGTCAACATCAGTGAACAAAGGCCTCGCCTGGTAGTGAGAGACTGATGAGGTGGACTCAGTTTTGGGGGTTTAATTCCAATTGATTGATTGATTGATTGACTGGTGGCATTGCAGGGGAACAAACCCAAGACACTACACATGCTAAGCAAGTGCACCACCACTGAGGAACACCCTCAGCCCTAACTCTGGTTTTTATATAATTGAGTTCTCGCTCACTCTTTCCCTTCTTAGTATTTTGAGTCTTCACTCTTGTCTCAAATCCTGGTGTCTAGCAGATATGTGGAAGAGACTAAGGAAAAAAAACATAAAGAGGGTAATTAATACCTTAATACCTTAACTTGACATTTCTCAGAGGCTAGTCTTTGCATAACCAAGTGTGTTTATGGCCCATATAATTGAGTCATAAAACTCACTATGGCCCTTGGAGGAATACTAGGTAGAAATGCTGAATAGAACAAGCTAGAGTGGGAAATGTCAGGCTTAGTGGCACATGCCTTTAATCCCAGCACTCAGAAGGCTGAGGCACAAGGATCACAAGTTTGAGCCAGCCTGGGCTACATAGTGAGTTCAAGACCAACCTGGAATACATAGAGACCCGTCTCAAAAAAACAAAAATACAACAAAATTGAGTGGGAGAGAGAGAACTGGCTAAGCAGGCCTCTGCCACCAGATGGCTCCCTTGCCCACTTTTCCTAAAATCCTTAGGGTTTCAGGGATATTTCTCTTTGAACTTCTAGTTTCTGGTTATCATACATCATGCAGACTCCATTAATTTTTCACCATTTCCTTAATATGCCAGATCTTTTCACACTTATGGCTATATTAGCTATGTCTTGCTGTATAACAAAGTATTTTAAAACTTAAGGGTTTAGCCAACAATAAACATACATTGTCTCATACTGTTTAGGGGGTCTGGGTGGTTTGGATCAGAAAATGAGGATGGCTTAGTAGGCATTTTGGCTCAGGGGCTTTCATGGGGCTGCAGTCAATTGTTAGCTAAGGCTGAATCCTAGATGGCTGTTATGGTTTAAATATGAAATGA